GGAACTTCAAATACTATATTGAATAGATATAGAGAGAGTGAGCAGCCATATCTTGTTCCTGATTTTAGTGGAATTAAGTTTCTCTCCATTTAATTTGGTGTTGGTTTCAGCTTGCTGTATATTGCATTATTATGTTTAGGTATGGGCCTTGTATCCCTGATCTCTCCAAGACTTCTATCATGAAGGGGTGTTGGATTTTGTCAAAGCTTTCTCAACATCTAATGAGATGATCATGTGGGATTTTTTCAGTTTGTTTATATGGTGGATTTCATTGATGGGTTTTTTTTATGTTGAGCTACCCCTGCATCCCTTGGATAAAGCCTACTTGATCATGGTAGATGATGTTTTCAATTTGTTCTTAAATTTAGTTTGTGAATATTTTATTGAGTATTTTTTGCATTAATGTTTATAAGGGAGACTGGTCTCAAATTTGCTTTCTTGGTTGAGTCTTTATGTGGTATACATATCAGCGTAACTGTGGCCTCATAAAATGAATTTGGCAGTTCTCTTTCTGTTTTTATTTTGTGGAATAATTTGAGTAGTGTTGGTATTAGCTCTCTGAATGTCTGGTAGAATTCTGTGCCTAAGCCATCTGGCCCTGAGCTTCTTTGGTTAGAAGATTTTTTAATGACTGCTTCTTTTTCCTTAGGGGTTATAAGGTCTATTTAATTGCTTACTTGATCTTGATTTAAAGTTAAATATCCATGTAAGTTAAATATCTATGAAGAATGTTGGTAAGTGATACCTATCATGAAAATTGTTCATTTCATTTAGATTTTTCAAATTTTCTGGAATACAGGTTTTTGAAGTAAGACCTAATGATTGTATTTCCTCAGTGTCTGTTGCAATATCCCCCTTTTCATTTCTAATTTTGTTAATTTGGATAGTGTCTCTCTGCCTTTTACTTAGTTTGGCTAAGGGTTTGTCTGTCTTGTTGCTTTTCTCAAAGAACCAACTTTTGGTTTCATTGATTCTTTGTGTTGTTCTCTTTGTTTCTAATTTATTGATTTCAGCCCTGAGTTTGATTATTTCCTGCCTCTTGGGTGTGTCTGCTTCTTTTTGTTCTAGAGCTTTCAGGTGTGCTTTTAAATCTATGGTGTGAGGTCTCTCCAGTTTCTTTAGGAAGGCACTTAGTGTTATGAACTTTCCTCTTAGCACCGCTTCCATTGGGTCCCACAAGTTTGGGTATGGCGTGTGTTCATTTTCATTGAATTCTAGAGTCTTTAATTTTTCTTTCTTTCTTCCAGTGGTCATTGAGCAGCAAGTTGAAGCGAGTTGTTCAGTTTCCATGAGTTTGTAAGCATTCTGTTGCTTAAGACCACCTTAAATCTGTGGTGGTCTGATAAGATACAAGGAGTTATTTCAATTTTTGTACATATATTTAGACTTGCTTTGTGTCCAAGTACATGGTCAATTTTGGAAAAGGTTCCATGAGGTGCTGAGAAGAAGGCATATTTTTTGTGTTTGGGTGAAATGTTCTGTAGATATCAGTTAGGTCCATTTGCTTCATAACATCTGTTAGTTTCATTATTTCTCTGTTTAGTTTCTGTCTGAATGAAGTCTACCACTATTAATGCCAGTTTTAGTACCAAAGCCTATGCTTATGCTGGTCTCTGACCCATATAGTGTGCGCCACCTGGTGGTTTATTTCTGACATGGTTTTCTGGCGCATGGTTGCAATCTATTGCAATCTATTTCTGGCCTGTGGCTGCAGTTCCTCAAACTCCTTAGTTGATTTTAGTGTGGATCAAATCCCCACAAGGACAGCTTGCGAATGAGCCAGAAGATCATAGCAGCTTTCTGGGACTGCTTTCTTTGAGGCCCCACCCTCCACTATCCATGGTCCCTCAACTGTTTTCTAATTTCTCGTGGCTTCCTTTTTTTAGTCCACTAGGACTAAACAGTCGTCTTGACGCACCCTCCTCCAACATGTGATTCTTGAACAGTGTCTCCATTAGGAGTTGAGACACTAGGGTTCATGTGAACTGCCTTTTGTGGGCTCTCTGTGGCTGCCCTGGCCTCTGCCAGGAACGATGTTCTTCCTTGTCAAGCTGGAACTGTAGTTTTCTGGATCTCTGTGCTGATCGCTTTCCAGGATTTCCTCGCAGATCAGTAACCAATAAACTTAGCCCTGATTCCATGCCACTTCAGATTATTTTTCTACCTTTTACCAAGCTTTTCAGTTAATGTTTGCATGCCACGACACCCACGTGGGGGACAGAGGACAATTTGCAGGAGTCGATTCTCTTCTACCATAAAGGTTCTTGGGATGGCGCTCAGGCTTGGCAGCAAGCGCCTATACTCACTGAGGCATCTTACCATCCTTTGTCGGGGGCCTCTATGTACAATTTGATAAACTTATCCGTGAGCACTTTAACTTTTAATGTTATCATAACAGGAAAATTTTTGTACATTGACTTTAGTTCTTGTGATAGTGCTAACTTTGCTTATTAGGGCCGGCGACTTTTTGTAGATTCTTTGGGATTTTCTCCTTCTGTGACATATCTTATGAATGAAGACGGTTTAGCCTCTGGCTTTCTGAATGGTTTGCTTTATATTTTATTCTCTTGCCTTCTTGCTCTGACTTGAGCCACCACAAATGAGTAGTTATGGTAGTGTTGCTCTCCGTGCCTTTCCCCCAACATTAAGAGAATTCAGGCTCTTAACAGTGATATGACATTGGGGTCCATTTTGAATATGTGCTCTTTATTGAGCAGGTTCACTTCATTTTTTTTTTTTTTATTAAAAGCTATTTGTGTGTGCGCGCGCCCGTGCGCACGTATATGCCACAAAGAAAGTGTTCACAGAGACCAGACAAAGGCATCACATGGCCTGGAAACGGAGTAACAGGCAGTTGTGAGCCCTCTACCATGGGTGCTGCGACCTGAACTCAGGTCCTTTGAAAGAACAGGAAGTACTTTCCATCTCTGAGCCATCCCTGCAGCCCCAAGCAAGCTCACTTCTATTTCTTCTTTTTAAGAATTTTGATTGTGGGGCCTGGAGAGATGGCTCAATGGTTAAGAGCACTGGCTGCTCTTCCAAAGGACCGGAGTTCAATTCCCAGCATCCACATGGCAGCTCACAACTGTCCAGTTCCAGAGGATCTGACACCCTCACACAGACACACATGCAGGCAAAACACCAATACATATAAAATAAAATAATCATGAAACAGAAATTTGATTGTGAATGGATATTGAATTTTGTCAGTTTCCGCTGCATGTTTTATTCTGGTTTTAATTTTCCTTCTTCCTTTTTTTTTCAACTAATGTTAAATACATTGGTTTTCAAATTTTAAGAATAATTTTCTCTTAATTTTTAGGCAGAAAGCTTTTTACTTCTTTCATAGAACATGAAGGTTTTGTTTTCTAACATGTATTTTCTCTTGAGACTTTCATACATGTGCACAATGTATTTTTATTACATTCCCCCCTTCAGTTCATCTCAGGCTCCCTTCCTCATGTCCTCCTCCCAACTTCACGTCCTCCCCTTTCAACCCACCATATCTAATTAGTGTTGTCTGTATGTATGCATAGCATGTGTATGTGGGAAGTGGGACATAGGACTAGCCACTGGAACTTGGCCAAGGTCCCAGGGACCACACCCCTAAACAAAACGGACTCTCCCCAGCAGCCAACATCCGATCCTCAGCTGGGTGTTCGCTTTGTGGTCCCTCCACCGCTCCTGGAGTTTGACTGGCTAGCTCTCGTACAGGTCTTGTGCAGGTAGCCTCCGCTGCTGTGAGTTCCTCAGTGCCGTGGTCCTGTCCTGCCCCAAAGGCAGCACCTCGCAGCGATCATGCTGACTCTTCCTGCCCGCTGATGCTGGCTTTGTTTTAAAATCGATTTAAAAAAAAAAAAGAGCATACAAATGATCTCTCCTTGTCTTTTTGTCTCTTGCAAATCCTGCTTTCCCTCAGGTTAGAGTACCTCTTGGAGGCCCATGTAAACCCACACTGTGTCCTGCTCCTCCAGCCCTCCCTTTTCTGGGGAGAGGGGTTGTCTTTGTTGCTGCCCCTCATTACAGAGGTGTTAAGTCAGATATAGATTGAACTGGAGTTGCCTTTAGACCCAAGCAGAGGGGTCGGGGAGAGTGTGACTCTGTAGGTGTTCTTAGCTACCTTGTGGCTGGGCTTTCTAAAGGAGAAGCACCCAGGGGATAGCTTTCAACTTCACCGAATTTAATAAGGCCAGTGTGCTTTCTCAGAAAGCCCCGGGTTCTTGTGGACTCTGTCTGCCTTTGTAACTGGAAGTCAAGCTCTGTCTCTTTTAGTGAGGTACCAGAGTTGAGCAATCCTGAGGTTGGGGGAAGTGCCTAGCTATATCAGGGTTCTGGTTATCCTCTTAGAATTTCACTATGTTTTTACCTCTCTAAGCTTCCTGTCCCATATAGTGTCTACCCTACAGCAGCAAACATGGGCAGGTCTTTTTTCTGCTGTGGTGTGCATATATGCGTGTGTGTGTGTGTGTGTGTGTGTGTGTGTGTGTGTGTGTGTGTGTTCCATCAAGGGGAAACTTCCTCATTTACCCTGCCAAATATTTCATTGTCCAGGATCAAGTCAACTCTAGTTGCACAAATACAAGATATGCAAATTTAGTAGTGGATGGTAGGCTATACCAGCAAAGAAGGAAATGGTAGAAATATTGGGAGGATAGTTGACTCCCTCCCTGTGTGTGTGTGTGTGTGTGTGTGTGTGTGTGTGTGTGTGTGTGTAAAAATGTTTTATTTTGGCATAGGGTCTCATGTAGCCCAGAGGCCTCAAACTCTCTATGTAGTTGAGAGTGGCTTTGAACTTGTGACCCTGCTGCCTCTACCTCCCAAATGCTGTGATTATCGGTGTGGGTCTTGAATTAATTTGACTGGACAGAGTTTCTCTCATAGTCTTACATCCTAGAGACCTGCTGAAGTAGTCTTGATGATGCATGGTTAATGCTGGTCTCTGTGACACAGAGACCTTTGTCTTTTGTTTCCATCCCTTTCCTTTGGTTTTGTGACTTCAGGTTGAGTCCGGAAATCTTCCTGAAGCGCCCAGTGGTGGAAGGTAATCGCTGGAGGCTGGACTGTATCCTCAAACGGAAAGCAGTGAGTATTTCCGGACATGCTCGCACCATTGTTTTCACATCTGCCATGTGAGCGTGGGGCTCGGGTTTAGTTGGACCACTTGCTTAGCCTGAATGAGGCCCTGGCTGGGCCATATAAAACCAACTGTGGTGACGCACATCTCTAATGACAACACTTAGGAGGTAGAAGAAGAAGGATGAGGAGTTCAAGGCCAGCCTGGGCTACTTGAAACTGTCTCAAAAAAAAATTTGTTTTTTTAATTTACTTTTAACTTTTTAACTTTAGAGCAGTAGCTGTCAATCTTCCAAATGCTGTGAGCCCTTAATAACATAGTTCCTCATGTTATGGTGACCTCCAACCATAAAATTGTTTTCGTTGCTACTCCATAACTGTAATTTTGCTACTGTTATGAATCATATTAATCTGTAAAGAGTCGTTCAACCCTTAATGGGGTCATGACCCACAGGTTGAGAATCAGTGTTTTAGAGCTTGAAACCCAACAGACACGCACATACCACACACTACATATACACTTGCACACACATGTCGGGGGGGCTTTCTGTTTCCCAGTTTATTTGGGAGAGAAGAGTATGAGATGAAAGTGGGGATGGGCTAGGAAGATGGCTCCGCAGGTAAGAACATTGGCTACACAGCTAAGGGCTTCTACTGCTCACCGTGGACCTGGCTTCATGTCTCCCTATAAAACTTCAGAGATGGTCATGTGCACCTGGTGCGGTGTGAGGTGGAGACAGGAGCGTCGCTGCCTTTTGTTGGCTGCCAGCCTGGCTCTGGATTCAACGAGAGACCCTGTCTCAGAGAAATAAGGTGGAGAGTGATAGAAACAAGACATTGTTAACTTCCCCTAACCTCTGTACACATGCATTGGCATACATACCAAACACATTACCTCCCCCGCAGACCTCACGCCCTCTCCTACACACACACACACACACACACACACACACACACACACACACACACACACTATCAGGGAAGACGTTAAGAACTATGAGGTTTGGTTTCATTCTGAGGACTAATTAGAATAAGCCTGGATTCATTATCGATCGTCTAGTTAGCGCGTGCTAACCCTTGTATTTGACTCAGTCTTAGGCTTTGTTGCTGCTGTTGTTTCCTCTCCTGAAGTGTGTTCTATCAGGTGTCTGGGTTCTGAGTTACTCAGGGCTGCACTGCTACTTTTAGAGGTCTCTGCACCCCTCTCCCTCCTATCCCCTCTGTCTTTCTAACCTCTCTACCCTCCCACTTTTCCTTCCTCTTTCTGTTGTCCTTTCCCCACACCTTCCAGAAGAGTTTCCACAGGTATCATACACAGACCTCATTGCCCATACTAAGAGAAGATGAAATTTTCTTTATCCACCCAGCATGCCTTTGATGGGTACCGTAATCCATTCCATTCACAAACCAGGAGACTCTAAGCCTGAGAAGTTCTGTTCACACATTCCTTCAATAGCTCAAAGGTGTCTGTGATGAGCTATAAAAGGCACAAATCACCAGGGAAGGTGACAGCAGATGTCTTTCCAGGCAAGCCCAGCTATCCCTTACTGAAGACTTGCATCCTAGGCAAGCACCCCTAGCTTACCAACCAACTTCCTCCCTGTTAAAGGATCTGGAATTTCCCCCATTTTTTTCTCTGTGAAGCAGCATCTTTCTGAATTTCCCCTTAAAATCCTATGTCAGCAAACTTTCCCCGGGTTTGGCTAAGAACCTTCACTCACGCTGGGAGACTCTCCTCCACAGCGGTTGTCTGGGAATTCACTTTTCTTAGGTTTCAGTCAGCATGAACTTGCTGTATGCCTTCCCTTGCTTAGGAGCATGGCCGTCATGGGGGAGTGTACGATAAATAATCGCCTGAATCCTAAGCCGTGGAAGCATAGAGCTCACACACATGCAGCTTCCCTGTCCTCTAGAGGAGATGCAGCCTCTCCGCAGACATCCCAGTCCTCTGGCTTCTACGATGCTTCCACCGCTTCTTCCCTGAGCCTTAGACAGAGGGGTCTCGTTGCAGATGTAGCATTAGTGCTGAGCATCCGTATTTTACGGTTATGGCTTTCCACACTAGCCGCCACCTGCTACAAAAAGAAGCTCCTTCCATGAGAGGTGAAAGCAACGCTTACCTGTGCGTACAGGATAAAGTGTTCAGAGTGCAGCCAGACATTCTGCCGGTTTAGGAAAGCCACAGCAGAATGTTTTCCTCTGGGTCTATGGCCTCCCCAGATGATTCATCCCTGCTGAGAAAGGGAGAACCAGTTTTCCCTAGAGAAGAGCCCCTAATTGGTTATCCGGTACCAAATGGTCAACCCTAAACACGCGCACATATACATACAAGTGACACTAAACGGATTCAGGTTTTACATGTATGCGTGCCTGTGTATGTGTGTGTGTGTACATATAACAATAATAAAGAAAAATAATAGAGAACATACATGGTAATAGAGAAGGAGCTTGGAGGGAGAGGAAGGGGAATAGGGAGAGAGGGAGCAAGGCGTGATAATCCGGAATTGAAGATGATCAGAGTACATTATGCACTAGTATACAGTATCATAATGAAACCCATTACTTCCTGAAATACATGCTAACACAAATGTAAAGAAAAGCCACAGGCATGTGGAAAGAGCAAATATCTAGATTCAGGGGTTGGAGGAAAAGCACGAGGCAGGCCTCACAGGGAGCCCCTCACAACCTGAGGCTTTTGGGAGTGCTGAGGGTGGGCACATTCCTCAGGTGCTGTGAGCATTGAAAAAAGAGGGATGATACTGTAAGGCATTGGGCTTGGTTGAGCTCCCAGGAGGAAATGATGACAGCTAGGGTGTAGGGCTGAGAGCCCTCAGTGGTGTGGATCTCTTAGTAAACCCGAGAAAGGTAGCAAATGCTGGGCAGCGTGCAGGAGAAAGAGCTTGCAAGCCTGTCTCTCCACTGCTGGCTTCCTGTTACTTGGCCTATTGCCCTCCAGGTCCCTGGCCAACTGCCTTTGCATCACTGGTGTGGCTTCTCATAGCCTTTGACCCACAAACCCTGCTGAGGTCTCTGGCGAATACCATAGTGAGTGAACATTCCAGCTTGATGATAGCGTCGTGTTTCCAGCTCAGATGCTTTCTGCAGCTTGTAACCTCTAAATTGTAGGAAACGGTTTGCTTTAACGTCCTGATAAACGGTGATGCTACAAAGGATTCGTGGCTCTGTGGCACATTTAATGGACTTTTCCCCCTTGTCTCAGTGCACTGAATTTGTGCTTTGCTCATCCATTTTTTAACATCTGGATCATTCCATTCTGATAGCTCATATTCACATAAACATTGCTTCTCATGAATAATTTAGCTTCTGAAAGCCACATACTAAGTTTGAAAGGAGGGGTGTGTGACATAATATTTATGTTCGCATTAGTGTGTCCCAGGGGTCCGTGGAGTTGATGAAAATGAATACATGTTTCTTCTGGTTGTGCAGATCATTTAATATTTTACAGCAGAGTCTGCAGCCTTGTCTGGCTTACAGCCGACATGTAGGTACACATCTCTTTACCTGTGTTTTGTTTCCCTGGTAACAACTGAGTTGATGTTCTTACCTTCCCCGGGCCTCCTGATATTCGATGTCATCATCAGTACCAGCCAGTCCAGGCAGGTTGTTTATTGATTTTTTGGGCAGGCTACTGCCTTGGGTTGCCCCTGCAGTTAGGACTCTAAGAGTCGAGAAGATAAGTTGCTTCATGTTATGGCAACCAGACTCTGCCTTGTAGTTGAGTACATTTCAATCTTAGAAATACGAGATTGACAGCAAAGGAAAATTTCCGAGAAATTTGAAGCTGACAGCAGTTGGAGACGGGTTTTGCTTTTCCCATTGAATTTGTCATCGTTTGATTTTTTTTTTTTTCCATTTGCACCCCAAGACACAAGACTACTGGAGCGATAGTCAGCTGTCTGAGGGAAAGGTGTCCACACAAGAGAAGGAAGACCGATCACTCCCTGTCTACCCAGCAAACCAATGGGGTCTGGAGCAGAAGACTGGGTGACTTGCAGGGGAAAGGGGAAGGAAGCTTTAGCCTCCAGGGCCATGTTTTAGACAAAACTGGTTAAAAATACGTAGCTATGTGTGCTGTGGCAGCGCACTGTTTCTCATCTTTAAATAGGGAGGATATGATTTCTTCCTTCTTTCTTAATTCTTTTTTCTTAAATTATATTTTAAATTTATTTGTGTGTGCACACATGTGTGGAGGTCAGAGGACAGCTTGTAGGAGTTGTCCTTGCTTTATCTGACAGGCACACTTCCCCTGCTTTTTTTGAGATGGGATCTCATATATACCCCAGGCTAGCATCTAATCCTGATCCTCTTGGCCCCTCTTCTCAATATAGGGATTTTAACTCTCATCACTTGTTTTCTTTTTTCCTACCGTATTACAGCCCCAGAGAAGTTCTTGGCAATGAATTATATCTCTGGGGTGAGGTTGTGTAAGGTAATGACAGACAGCGGACAAACCGCACTACTCTAAATTATCAGAGAAGAAGCTGGCTAAGAAAGGGATCGTCTTACTTTCCACTCTATTTTTTTTTTTTTCATTCATTGTCATGTGTATTTTGTGTTCACAAAGCCCCTAAGATTCCCATTTGCCGTGTTGGGCCACTGTATCTGATAAGGACGGCCAAACATGTATCTGCAGAGGCTCGTGTTTCAGGAAGTCTGTTCTCTAGAACTTTCTGTTTGCTTAAGTTCACCAAAGATAAGACATGTTATTTCACAAGATCACTCCGGGAGCCTTCTTACTTCCACTATTAATATTGCCCTTCCTCTTCTTTGAGGAAATCAGTTTCCTAAAGTGTGCAAATGTGTGTGCATGTGTGTTTTGAGAAATGGCTTACTATGTAATCCTGACTAGCCTGGAACTTGTTATGTAGCCCAGGCTGGCCTTAAATCCATAGAGACCCAGTTTTTATCTGTTTCCCAACTGCTGAAGTTAAAGGCATGCCCCACCATGCCTGGCCTGGTGCTGATTTTTGTACAGGATGAGAGATCAGACTCTAGTTTCATTCCACTACATGCTGAAACCAAGTTCTCCCAGCACCATTTGCTGAAGAGAATGTCTTTTCTCCAATACATTGTTTTTTATTTTTTTTATTTGACCTTTGGCCAAAAAGCAGGTGGCTATACTATATGACTTTAATTCTGGGTCCTTTCTGCTATTCTTGTTCTATGTGCTGGTACCATGCTGTTTTGTTACTTTGACTCTGTAGCGTAACTTGAAATCAGGCATGGTGATACTTCCAACATTGTTCTTTTGCTCAGCCTTGCTTGGTTACTGATACCTTTTAGGCTTCTGTGAAGTCTGTGAATTTTAAGATTTTTTTTTTTTCTGTGAAGAATGTCATTGGGATTTCTGTATCGATTATATTGAACCTGTAGGTGGTCTTGGGGGGACACTGACATTTTCACAAAATTAATTCTGCCAATCCCAGAACATAGGAGACCTTTCAACTTTTGTCAGTTTCTTCTGATATTCCCCATGGTCTTATAGATTCCAGGGGGACACTGAACTCACTACACAACTGAGGATGACCTCGAACTTCTAATCCCCCTGCTTCGAGACCCTCCATGACTGGTTATACAGTACTGGGGACAAGCACTCTAGCCACTGAGCCTCACCTCCATCTTGTTGTATTTAATTAATTTCTTCAGTGTTTTAAATGGTCACTGCAGAAGACTGTCATTTATTTGGCTAGGTTTATTCTAAGGTAATTTCTTTTCTTTTACGTTATAATGAATGCTTTTGTTTTACTGGTTTATGATCTCAGCACATTCAAGGTTTGCATATAGGAAGGCTACTTCAAAGTACACTTTTTAAATTACAAAATTTTTAAATTACAAACTTAGCATCTGTGTTTTGTAGGTTTGGCTTTTGGTTTGCTGAATTAGTCTCTATGGTTTTATAAGCCTGCACTATTACAACAAAGCAAATGGCTTTACCGCAAAGGAATGATTTTTCCTTCACCATTTATAGAGTTTGTGACTGTGTTGTAATGCAGCTCGTAAAAGATATTATGGCTTTATTATCATGGGAATCTGCCACAAATTAAGTGTTTATTATAAGTATAAGCATAAGTATATAAGATAAGCCCCATTAAAAATAACATTTGGATATTACTTCCTTGTTAGTCATTGGTATTTAAGATAAAAGCAGGCAGAATTTCTACTCTATTTCCTTTAGCATCACTTTATTCAAGTGACTAAAGGCATGGTATGGAAGAACATGCCAGGTGTAATAATTGGAAGGCATTAATGTAATCCATTAGAGGTAACATCTGTATTATCTCAAAAATCCATCAGTTATTCGGATAAGTAGGAAACTGCAAGACACAGACCAGGTACTAATTTGCAGATACCGCTCTTCATGAATAATATGTTTTAAGCTCAAGAATTTGAGGTCTGGAGAGGCAGATCAGTGGGCAAGAATATTTGCTGCAAAAGCACACGGGCCTGAGATCTGTGTCCATGCAGAACAAGCTGGGCAGAGGTTGGTGCAGGCTCCTCACCTGGTGCCAGGAGGCAGGGACAGAAAGATGGCTGGGGCTTCCTGGCTTGGGAGCCCAGCCAGACCTCGAGCCCCACCTCAGAGGAATAAGGAAGAGAGTGATAGAGGAGGTCATGCAGAGCCTTTCCTGTGTTCACGCCCAGGGCCTCCTGTGCATGGGAATACATGCCACACTCACCCAGACATAAAAGGAAATGAGAGGCACAATCTCAAAACCAAAAGCAGGATGTCACCGTTTGAAATAGATGAGCCACCTGGAATGATGTCAGGTGTAACCACAGGTTACTTAGAATGGAACTCTCCTCTTCTGCAAGAAGACGCTATGATCTTAACTTCTGAGCCATCTCTCCAGCACACCATTCTTTAAAATATATGTGTATTAGTGTGAGTGTGTTGTCTGTGTGTGTGTGTGTGTGTGTGTGTGTGCGCGCGCGCGTGCATGCTCGTGTATGCTGCAGTGCTTGTATAGAGGTTCCCTCTTTCTTCCACATGGGTTCTAGGGGTCAAACGTAGGTCAGCAGGCCTGGCAGCAGGTACCTTTATCTGCCGAGTCAGCTGGCCAGCCCTGTACTTTCATATTTGATTGTAATAGTAACTGCACTGTTACCGTGAGCAATAAATAAGTTCCGAGGGCCAGGTGTTAACTACAGAAATGAAATTAGATATGTGTGAGCATATATGCCTGCACAAGCATGTGTATGTGTCATATAGATGAATTTTGACTTTCTTTTTTCACAACAAGAGCAGTGTCTTCTGATACATCTAGTGAACACCCAGTTGTAAATCTAGTGTCCTTCCAAGACCATAGATTTATTTCAGGGGTAACTAAGTAGTAAAGTGATTGTGGTCTTGCACTAAATTCACATACTCTATTGTTTTGGCAGATTAACACTGGGGAGCTGTTGTATTTATCCCTGTTATCTACTACCGAGAAGCACAAACTCTTATGGCATTTGAGTCTGTAGTGTTGTGGAAATAGATGGTTCCTGTTGGTCAGATGGCCTAACCCAGTGGGAGATCACCAGGCACTTTCTGGTTTAGCTGACAGTGAAATGGGCCCCAACAGCCCTGGCTCTGTTCTTTTGACCCACATTCGAGGAGAATATCTGTGTTAATTTGTATGTCCACGTTACCTTTAGCCACTGCCACAGTGAAGTCCTAAGAATCTAATTGTGAGTTAAGACCCAACATATTCATCTTTGAAGATTTAGAACTGCTTTGTCCACGTACACCAATTTTTGTTTGTTTGTTTGTTTGTTTCGGGAAAGAAAAATTCTACATAATCTTCTCCCTGAGACATTTAGGGCACATTTGGCACTAGCTGTTGCTTCAAAGACTCAAAGTCACAGTTTTCCTGACTGATAATTGCTTGGCAATGTTCAGAAAGATACCACAGCTACTGGATACTTTCAGGAGCTGAGGCGCCGGTCTCTGCTTTCTAGGATCTATAGTTAATGCAGTGCCAACACTATTATGATTGAACATATATGAAGGGACATGTATGATTGAACATGTATTATGATCTTATCTCAAAAGATAAGATCATATGTAGCTCAGGCTAGCCTTAAACTCTCTCTGTAGCTGAGCCCAGCCTTGAACTCCAGTTCCCCCCTGACTCCACCTCCCAAGTGCTGGAATGACCAGTGTTTGCCACCACATCCAAGTTCTATGTTTCCTATTTGCGTCTTGACATAATGTGTGTCATTCTCTGCACTGTTTGTTTATAAAGATGTTTAAAACAGTTTATAGAATAAAGGAACTGTAACACAGGGAAAGGAGGAGGGGAAGGAAGTCTTCTCTAGGGGCTCATTCCTGTTTTCTTGTGACAGCAACAAGGCGTGCGGATTTTCATAATGCTTTACAAAGAGGTAGAGCTAGCGCTCGGGATCAACAGCGAGTACAGCAAGCGGACTTTGATGCGGCTTCACCCCAACATAAAGGTACCAATGCTTCTGTCCTGCAGGGGCCTTTTCTGCATAGACTCCCATGATGCTCATTTTGAATGAACAGCATCGAATCTTCAGAAATACACACAGTATTATACTTTCTTGTTTTTGCTCTTCAAAGTGAGCACACAAAGGCATGGGTATTTCACACATACTTCGTTTGTATCGCACCCCTTCCCCATTCCCTTTCCTGTTCCCCCTTTTTGTCTTCCCCATAGCAGAGCCTTTCTCTGGTGCTCACGCTCCTATGCAAAATCTTTATTTTGCTTTCATGTCACATGTATTTTCATACCCTTTTCCCCCTTCCTCATTCCCTTAAAATGCTCTTTTTCCTTTTCATAATCCCTTTTCAGTGTCTTGACCCTCCTCTCACACACCACAGATATGCATATATCAGTTTTCCTGTAAATGTCATTATTTCATGTTTCTACTAAATAAAATCCCGCTGCGTATCTGTGCCACATATTCTTTAGTCATCTGTGGATGGCGTCTGGGTCAGTTCCATTTGCTCGCCACTGTGAATACAACAGCAATACCCATGGACATGCAAGAATCTGTGTGGTGTGAGTTAGTTCTTTATCTACCCAACAGTATAGCTGTGCCTATGGTAGTTTTAATTTTAGTTTTCTTCTCTTCCTCCCCCCCCCCCCGCCCTGAGAACTTCGATCTTACTATGTTAGTCTGGTTGGCTTGGAACTCTCTGTAGACCAGGCTGGGTCCTGGGAAATCCGATCTTACTATGTTAGTCTGGTTGGCTTGGAACTCTCTGTAGACCAGGCTGGCCTCCGACTTGCAGAGATCTCACTCCTGCCTGTTTCCCAGGTTCTGGAAGTAAAGGCATGCAGCACCACTCCAGGCTCAGTTTTTCTAGAGACCCCCCACACTGATTTCCATAGTGGCTCTACTGTTTACTCCACCAACATTACAGCTGCGACTGTCCCCCACAGTCCTTTCAACATTTGTGGTTTGTTTTCCTGAGGGTAGCTCTTCCGCCCAGCCAAGATGGAATCTTAAAATGGCTTTAATTTGCATTTCCTTGATGACTAAGGGTGTTGAATGCATTTAAAAATATTTTTCTTCCCAGACTTGTCTGTTCAGCTAAAATATTTCCTTATATTCCCTCTGTTGATGGGGGTGAGTAGACCTTATGTTTCTCAACTCTAACCCTGATAGCTGAAAATAAAAGCTCAACTAAAGAACATCCTTCCTGTACTGCTTTAATCAAGAGTTTTGTCTACTCTCCACACTGCCATTAAGATAATCCCATGATCACTTGGATGGAAAGTCACCACTGAGTTCTCTTATTGCTAATAGCAGTAAAGAGACTTGTTCTAGGATTTGGAATTTTGTGGATTTTTGAGATCAATAGTTTCTAGTGTGAAATGTGGATAAAGAAAATGAAATGACAAACAATTTGTAAAAGCTCCTTGAAATCTCATTAGACCTCAAATCTCTTAATAAATATCATCCAGCCAACAAGATACAAGACTTAGAAGCTCTCTAACAGGCTTAAACTATGTAACAATTATGTATCTCACTTGGTTAAAAATCAGCCCAAGGGGGGCTGGAGAGATGGCTCAGTGTTTAAGAGCACTGTCTGCTCTTCCAAAGGACCCTGGTTCAATTCCCAGCACCCACATGGCAGCTCACAACTGTCTGTAATGCCAATTTCAAGAAATCTGACACCTTCACACTAATGCACATACAAGTTAAATAAATTATTTTTTTAAAAAAAAATCAGCCCAATGGATAAGACAAGTTACAGAAGCTCCATGCTCATTCGCCATATGTAATTTTGTGACTTCAGCAACTGAGAAGAGTGCAACAGAGGACACCATTGAGGACCTGGAAATAGTTATGAATCATAGACCTGAGAAGGGCTATGTTTTCTGCCTATATAGAACCCTTGTACAACACAACTAATAGAAGACATTTTTAAATGAGCCAAGGCCCTGAATGAACACTTCAGAATATTCCAGTAGCCAAACCAGACAAGAAGACATTAAACATTAGTAATAATCAGGAAAATGAAAATCAAAACTCCAGTAAGATTCTATTTCACATCTGATAGGTCAGGTAGTATCTTGTATTGCTGAGAATATAGAAGCTTTGTGCATGAGAATACAGAGCCCTCTTGCATATTGATGGGGTAAATAATAGTTTAATGTTATTTACTGTACTATATAGTAATATAATTGCTATAGACTTAGTATTTAAGTATATAAATATATATATAGTATAGTATAGTATTTAATATAGTATAGTATATTAATATAATATAGTATATTTAATAATATACTTTGCTTTGAATTTGCTAATAATATAATTGCTTTGAAAGGCAATCTTCTAATTCCTCAAAAAGTAGTCTGCACCCAAAAGAAGTGAGAACATAGACCTATGCACAAACTAATACAGGAATGTGCCTACAAACACTGCTCATAATAGCTAGCAGGTCTGAACAACATGAATGCTGATCAGATGATAAACAGGTGCAGATGGCAAAAATCAGTATCTTTATTGCTCAACAGAGACATAAGCGAAATCCTGAAGGAGGACACAACAGGGGTGAAGCCCTAAATCATTACGATAACGATGCTGTCATATCAGGTGCAGTGGCTCACACTCGTGATCTCAGCCCTTGGAGGCTGAGGCAGAAAGGGAATTGTCATAAGCAGAAGTCTAGGTGATGTGCTAAATTATAGGTCAGCCATAGTGACATCCAGAGTAAGCTACGTCGTAAGACCCTCCATGTGTGAGAGAGGATGCAATAGGTGTTGTGTGCCAATAGAAGGGTTATGGGGGGGGTCAGCGAGAAAAGGGAAAGAGAATGACTGAGAACTAAGTATGATGGTATTATACATAACGAAAGCTATCGTGCTGTATGGTAACTTGTCAATAAAATTGTAAAAGTTTTTAAAGGTAGAATTCAGGGTGACATGGTGGCTCAGTCCTTTGATCCCACTACTAAGGAGGAAGAGGCAGAGGCAGAGGCAGGAGGATCTCTGTAACTGAGGACAGACTAACGAGGGCTACATAGTGAGCTTCTGTTGAAGGAGGAGGAGGAAGAAGAGGGGGAGACATAAAATTTGTCCTTATAGTCAAATGAAAATAAGAGATCGTATCAAGACTCTTAGGAATTAGCAAAAGCAGTACAAAGAGGAGGTGTTTATAGCTATAATTCCTTCATTAGAAAAAAGGTCTCAAAGTATCAGTTTAAACATAAAACTTGAGGATCCAGACAAAAGAGAACAGAGCAAACCTAAAGACAACAGAAGGAAAGAAATCAAGATGAAGGCCTACACTTGCCACAGGCAGAGCAGGAAAAAAAGAAAAGAAAAAAAAAATCAGTTGAACCAAAAGTTGGTTGTTGGAAGCATCAATCAGTTCAAGAAACTTTATTTGGAAGAAGAAAGGAAGGAAAAGACTTTAGTTTCTGAAGACACGCAGTGAAAGTGGAGCCTCTGTGAAAGAATCCACGGGGATGGAAAGGATTCTAAGAGACTCTGCAAATGCCAGCACACCGGGTAACTAGGTGAATGGGGCAAAACCCACCAAGGCTCACTCAGGACAAGCTATGGAATCTGAATAGACATACCCAGTCAGGGGATTGGTCAAGAGTTAAAAATCTCTCCTCAGAGAAAAGCACCCGGTCCTTTTGATGGCTTCCCTGGCTAATTCTACCCAACAGTTAAAAAGACCCAACACCAATCCTTCTCAATTTTTTTTTTTAAAAATGAAAAGGAAGAAAGACTAGTTAGCTCATTACCTTGTTAAAATGGAACAACATACACCAAAATTGGTAACATGGCAAATATCATGTTTTGTGTGATTTACCACAATAAATAAAAGCATTAGCCGACATTATTGGTGTCATCCTACTTGTAAACATGAATGTAAAAGAAGTCTAATAGGATCGTGTAGGAGTCACCCTGAATGTAGTTATCAGCCTCCCCAGGTACCTTTGTATAGGAGCTGTTTAGGGATCTGTATGCTTGTATCACCAGAATACAAACATAGCTTATTAAATATCTTTCCACAAATGCATATTGGCTAAGTATTTTATTTATAACAAAGGTTACCACTAAAGAGGGTAGAAGAGAACCTACAGCTATTAAATTGACATTGCTGTAATGGTTGCCATTTAAGTCAAATGACGGTTTCCTCAAAATATCTCACCTGGCTGAGAACTTAAACCGAAAGAGGGCATATGTGGGGGCCTGAACCTGGAACTTCAGCATCTAGGAAGCTGACACAAGAGGCCCTCAAGTTCAAGACCAGCCAACGTAATCCTTAAAAAAACTAACATATTTGATGGAAATCTTTCTCTGCTAATATTGAGTAAAGTTTCAAATTTGGGAGACTTTCTTTGGCATATACAGAACACATTTTTATACCTGAATTATTTTAAAGAACGTTCTTTAGGGGGAAAGCAGATCTGCTTTATTGTGATGTGAAGGCCATTTATAAGTCACACTCTCTGTGGATTTTCCCTGCCTACAGGTGATGCGGCACCCAGACCATGTGTCATCCAGTGTCTATCTGTGGGCTCATCATGAGAAGCTTGTCATTATCGACCAGTCGGTGGCTTTTGTGGGTGGGATTGACCTGGCCTACGGAAGGTGGGATGACAATGAGCACAGACTCACAGATGTGGGCAGTGTGAAGCGGGTCACCTCAGGACTGTCTATGGGCTCCCTCACAGTAAGTACTTGTTATCTTTTGGGACAGCACAATGTTGACAACCTTGTCTAGAGCTGTATAAGTAGGCGTGGCTGACCCAGGAATTCAGAGATAACATCTCCTGAGAGGTGCGGTGGACATACCCGCTGTCATGTACTAGCTTACAAAACATGCCTGACCCGGAACCCGGCCTCTTTCAGCTTCTCTCATGGAAGAAGGGAAAGCAAGTTTGGTATAATGTACATTTTCTCAATCAGTGCCCTGGTTTTTCCATTCAAACCAACGGTTTAATTTTCTATTGGTGAAAAAAAAAATGTTTATAGCCAAAAGTATTGATGTGTGACAATCAAAATTGGGTTCAATAAGAGTAAGAAGCCTATTACAGGCAGCTGCTGCAGCTGGCTTTTGCTCACCTGTTAGAGGGTGTTCTCGGCCGTGGTGTGCATTTGTATGTTCTTAGCCTCTTCCTACTTATGGACACAAAAATCAGTAGATCATTCCAGGGGTCGTTTAGAGGGAATTGGAGCAGGAAGTTAACTTAATGGCTTCCCAAATGACCTGCCAATCAAGAGCTGCCAAAATGGCTCCATTTCCATTTCCATCTGCTTTGTGTTTCAGCTCTACACTGCCAAAATGCAACATATTCATTCGAAAAGTTGATGCGCTCTTCTTATTTGCTGATGGGACTATGGGCGGCCTTTCTGAGGGCCGAAAGAGGTGCAATGTGCTGTGTAGATGTATTAGTTAAGTCTTCTCACTGCTGTGACCAGATGCTTGACAAGAGGCCACTCAAAGGAGGTTTCTTTTGGCTGCAGGTGAAGGAGGAGGACAGTTCACCTGGCCGGGGAAGGTGTGGAAGCAGGGACTTGTCTCTTTCTTGTCCCATTACTCAGCAGTTAGGAAGCACAGAGAAGACAAGACATCAAACCTCAGAGCCCACCCACAGTGCTTAACCTCCCCCAGGAAGGTTCCACCTCCTAAACCTTCCCAAACAGTGCCAACAACTGGGTACTCTGTTCAAACTGCCTGTGGGGAGTGTGTGGGGGGGGGCGTTTCACACTCAAACCACGGCAGTGGATTTAAAGTGAAAATGACTGACAGAAATCAATGTTGATCAGAGAAGGTGGGCAGTTTCACTGTGATTTTAAGTAGCACAATTAGTCTGAGGTAAAAGGGTTAGTGAAATGAAATTTCAAGAGTTTTATCTGATCACGGTGGCTCACACCTTTAATCCCAGCATGTGAGAGGCCGAGGCAGGTAGATCTCTGAGTTTGAGACCAGCCTGGTCTACATAGCAAGTTCCAGCAGCAGGGTTTATGTAGAGAAATCCTGAATCAAACCAACGAACCACCAGCAGCAAAAACAAACGGAAAAGCCATAGAACTCACCACCATCCTGTAACTGACCTGAGACTCTAGGGAGACTGTTCTGAGGCCTCCGCCATCTGTAAACTTCCTCTCCTCTCCTTGAATGAAAGCACACTGCAGTATTCATCATGCATGGCCTTTTTTTTTTTTTATAATTTTTACAGGCAGCAACAATAGAGTCTATGGAATCCTTAAGCCTCAAGGATAAGCATGAATCTCATAAAAATGAGCCCATCTTGAAGGGTGTTGATGATACAGACACCAAGCTGAAAGGAATAGGAAAGTCCCGGAAATTCTCCAAATTTAGTCTCTATCGACAACTGCACCGTCGCCATCTGTACAACGCGGACAGCATCAGCAGCATCGACAGCTCCTCCAGTGAGTGACAGCGTTGCTAGAACGTCCCCTGGGTGCACTATGATGCTTGCAGCCGGTCCCTTGCCTATCTGCCTTAAAAAAAAAAAAAAAATATGTGGTCGCATCCAGCGAACAGCATACAAAGATCGCCATGCCATCCTGGGTGGCACTATGGAGCCATGACACTGTGTTTTGAGATGCAGTCTCATGTGGCCCAGGCTGGTCCCAAACTCACTATGTGATAGATACTGATCTTGAGTTCTTGCCCATCCCAGGCTGGGGCCACAGATGTGCACCTCCGTGCCTGTTTTAGAAGGGTCTGGGGATTAACCAGAAAGCAAGCACTCTACCAACCCAGCTCCATGCCCAGTCTCCCTTTGCCTCATTTCAAAAACATATTTGTTATTAATACAAAGTAATCACAACATCCACTATTGATACTTTAGATGGTGACATAATGACTAAAGCTTTCTAAAACATAACAAGCTATAAAGGAAAAAGGAAGGCATGAGGTGTACTTTATAAACCTTTCATATAATAAATCTATTTCTCTTTTCATCCAGAAATATATCAAGCTTGTACCAGCAGACATCAGATATTCTATATTTTATGAGTTTACTATTCTTTACAAATCTTGCTTAAAGCTGTGTGATTTTTCTGTGTGATTTTTTTTTTTTAGATCTTATAGCTGATTTTATAGACCTGCTTATTCTAAAAATTATTAAGCTTGCTGAATATGTTTCTTTATAAAACAAAAAAGAACTCTCAACTTTCTCCAGGTTATTTTAACCACTGTAGAAGCCACCAGAATTTAATCCATGGTTTAAAGCCCCACTTGAAACTCTTTCGCCCCTCCAGTGGGTCTGAACAGGGCCTCACTAGACACAGCGCCGGTAAGTGACTTGCTAGTGTCACAACCCCACGAGCTTGAGCTTTTGTTGCTTCTCCTGTTGTATGACCACAGCGAGCGTGTGTTCATGTGAGCTTTCTGCCCAGTCTTCATGTCCCACAGTTAGATAGGACCTGCTCCATGCGAGTGCAAGCTCCATTTGTCTGCGAGCCTACCCTCTAGTTGTGAAGAGAAGGAGACTCACGGAGCTACCGTGTAGCACAAAGTACAGACCAACATCTTGCCTGTGGCTGGGAAATGCAGCTTACAGCCAAGGCATGAGATTGGTGTTAAAAGGATGCACTGAGGCAGAGTCCCAGACAAACTGGGGAAAATGCAGCCTCATTTGTTGAAAAAAAAAATCTTGAGGGTTTTTTTAACAGAACTAGCATGTTTTACACGGGGAGGGTTAGAAAGTGTTATCTGATACCTTTCGTGGGAAGGATCAGGTTCTTGAAGAATGAATTAACTGGGGCCTAAATTATGGAGGTGAGAATGAAGAAGGCTTTGACAACTGGTCCAAGGATGGGAAATCACTAGAGCAAATCATCAGGCAGGTGTGCAGAAGGCCCCACACTGCCTTGAATGCTTGTAATGCTTTGGCAAGAATATCACTTCCTTTTCCCAGATGAGAAAACTTGAGACTGGCCCAGCGCAGTCACAGTTCATCGGCATTCCCATGCTCGGTATTTACGTGTCCAACTTAGCAGAAATGAAAACATGCATCCATGTTGCCCTTTGGCTTAATCCCAAGGCTAAGGATCTGTCCTGCTGGATTAGGAAGTTAGAGCCCAGCTGACAGGCCTGGGTCAATCTCCACGGAACCTGAGTAGTAAGGCTAGAACTTAAAGCATTCATCAGGAACCCAGCTTTTATTTTTAATTACGTGTGTATATTTTTGTGTCCAAGTAGGCGATGGTGCCTGTGTGAAGCTCAGAGAACCATTTATAGGAGTTGTTCTTCTCTCTCCACTGTGTGAGGTCTCCAGGCACCACATGGACCCAGACACAGCAAGTTTTAAAGTGCATTAACTATATGTAATGAACCAAAGCACAGTGTAACTAACAATCTTGTAAACTATGGCACTTTGACGATTAGTGGTGTACACAATGGAGCAAGTGACAGAGGCAGAAAGGTATCTGGCACATTAAACCAACTCCTTGCTGAGGGCGTGAGATCCACAGTGATGGTCTGAGGACATGGTGCTGATGGAAGGCCCTTGACATGCATTCATAGTCTCCTCTACTCATTGGCGGGAGATATGTTTATTTTAACAGAAAAGGAGGAAATAAACAGCATCAATTTTAGGCTCTGGAAATGATAAGGAAGTAGGGGTGGGCCGTCCTTAATAATACTGAGCAGTCATTAAAGCAAAGACTCAGGTGGCTCTTTATTTTAATTTTAGTTATGTGTATGTTTCTGGTGGGTGCTGGAAACCAAACCTGGGGCCTTTGAAATAATACACTCCTAACCACTAAGCCATCTCTCCAGCCTCCTTACGTGCTGAATTGAATAAATATGTGCTAAGCATCTATCACATGCTAACCACTGCCCTAAGCACTATGGGTAAAATGGTCAGCATGTAAAAGATGAAATGCATTAAGAAGATTGAGCAACAATCCTCATTCAGAAGGACAAACACGATAGATGTTGGAAGCAGGAGAAGACAGGGTAGGACAGGAGCCTACCACAGAGGGCTTCTGAAAGACTCTACTGATCAAGGCATTGAAGCAGAGGCTGAGACTCATAGCCAAGCTTTGGGCAAAGGGCATGGAATTTTATGAAATAAGTGGGAGATAGAAAGACCTGGAGGGGACAGGAGCTCCAAAAGGAGACCAACAGGACCCAAAATCTGAGCCCTGGGAGCCCTCAGAAACTGATACCCAACCAAGAACAATGTGTAGAGAGGATCTAAAACCCCAGCTCAGATGTAGGCCATAGATTCAGTATCCAAGTTGGGTCCCTCTAAGGGGAGCAGGAGCTTTCTCTGAAATGAACTCAGTGACAGACTCTCTGATCACCTCCCCTTGGGGGGTCCAGCCTTGCCGGGCTACAGAGGAAGACAATACAACCAGTCCTGATGAGACCTGATAGGCTAGGATCAAATAGAAGAGGAGGAGGAGGACCTCCCCTATCTATGGACTAGGGGAGGGGTACAGGGGGAGAAAAGGGAGGGAGAGTGGGACTGGGAGGAGATGAGGGAGGAGACCACAGCCAGGATACAAATTGAATAAATTGTAATAAATTATAATAATAAAAAAGAAGGAAAAAAAAGAAGGCTGAGCAATACGGATGAGGGGGGCACAAACAGATAGATCACTGTACATCATACATCAGGCAGTGATAATTATCATGGAGGACCAATGGGGTGAAAGCAGGGGCACAAATTACTATTCTATATAACTTCGTTAAAGAATGGTACTCTCATGGGTTGAGTTTTACCTGGAGATCGGAAGGAAAAGGAGAATAAGAAGCTGTCTTGGAAGGTGTCCCAAGCAGGAACAATAGGAAGTTCAAAAAATCCAATGCTAGGGGAAGACTGGACTGTCTATAAATGGGGCTATGAAGATAGGAATGCTAGAAAGACAGGGACTGGATGGATTATAAGTAGCTTTGTAGACTACTGTAAGAATTTCAGCTCTGGGGAAGTCAGTGGACAGTGTAAAACGATGTACAGACAGACACATGGAAGGGACTCCCAGGATGCCTTGCTGTGCATAGGCCAACCTGCAGAGTCCAGGAGAGATCACTGCAGAGTCGAAACAGGGACACTGCACTAATCTTAATTCCTCTTAATTAGGCCAGTAATCATAATAGAACCTGTAATACATGTTTTCATTCAAAAATCACTCGGCCGTTCCCGAGGACTTTTTTCTTTTTCAAAATTATATTGTAAAAAGGAGAGTTCCGGGTTGATATCGCTTTGCTTGGCAATATTTTAAATATTTTGTTTCCTCTTACATTTAGGAAGCATCTTTCCTTTGTAAGTGTTACTGAGCAGAGAAGCAAGCAGGATTTCACATTGATCAGGCTGATAAATGGCACAGTAAGGCCTCTCTAGACCCTTCTCTGGGCTGCAGTGCACAGGGTCTATTATCTCCTGTTTCCACACGACTAATATTGTATCTCAAACTTAGTAGTTACATGTTTGTGCTTCTTAATTTTTTCTTAACGTCTGAGAGGTGGGAGGGCTGCACAGCGCGGGAGGCCTGTGGAGCTGAGAGAATTTAGGAGAGTCAGTTCTTTCCTTTCACCATGTGAGTCCTGGTCATTGATTTGGGCTTCAGGTGCCTTTGTCTACCGACTGAGCCATCTCTTTGCATCTATGTTGTGTAAATTTGGAATCGACTTATCATTTATTTCATATTCTCACTCTCTCTGTCCCTCCTTACTTACCTCCCTCTCCAACGATGCACTGTGCTTACTACAAAAAGCCTACAGGGCAGCAAACAGCTCACCTGGGCTCTTTCCTTTCAGGCATACACAGCAGGAAAGCCAATGTCTGGGAGAAGATAATACAAGTGTTTCAAACACTAGTTGGTTTTGTTGACATTGACCGTTTTTATAAAATATTTTAACCCCTGGGGAATTAATTATTAATTTTGAGATGGAGTATGAGTTGTGTGTGGCGACGCTACAAGAAGATTTGTTTGGCGACAATTTATTGATTTCTTCTTGGATGCTGGGAGCTACAGAAGGAGGTAAAGGGGTATCCTGCCTCCTCTGAGTTTATAGGCTACTGGAGGAGGGATATATGTTCAGCATTTTATGCAACTGCATGCCTTGGTCAGAGGCCTTAGGTGGGCATTTGTAGACAGGACACCGCCTTGCAGGGGTCCACTCTGTTTGTCCTAAGGCCAGGCTGCTATGGCTCATGAGGAATGATTACAAGATCAGGCCAAAGGGAGGGAAGAACATTCTATGCAGAATGGGTAAGGTGCAAACTGAGCAGAGGCAAGGCAGATAGGCCTGTCAAAACACAGTGAAAAAAAATAAGGCATGCGGAAGCCTGGGGCTAAGGCAACATGAGGAAGAAAAGGACAGATGGCTGCCAGTTTGGGAAGCGGCTCCTACACTCTAAGTCCTTTTCCACATAACCACCTGTGGACAGTAGGTGATTCTAAAGAGGCTTTTAAACAACTTTGCGTTTTACAAAGGCAGGAGTCATAATGCAGAGGTAATGTGTGGTGGCCAGCAGACCTCTACTGGCTGCTTCGGGTGGTACTGTTATTCACTTAACAATCATTCTTGCACCCCCACGCCTGCATGTCTAATGCCTTTGTGCCAGGCACTGCATGTGTGATCTCAGTTCCGCTTCTCCCTTGCTCCGTTGTCTTTATGTCTGACACAGCCCTGAAACTTCCCAGCTGTTTAACTTGAGGCATCAGTTCCCAAGTAGAGTGGCCCCTTCGGCTCTTTGTTACTGCAAGCTGCTTCTTTAGTGCCGCCGCTGTAAGCTTCTGTCTGTTGTTGTATTTTAATGGATAGTGTTTGTGATTTTAGGAATACAGGATGTTAAAGCCCAAAAGCTCTTAGCTGTCATCTAGGCCAAATCATACTCTTTACACATAAGGCTCTATGACCCAAAAAGTTGAAGCTTGGTGTCATGTACCTAGCTAATTCAGAGGCTGGACCACAAGGCTGCCTGTAAACATGAGACTCATGTGTTGGTAAGGGCAGAGGTAGCCTGGCTCTTGTTGCCTCAGCCTGGTGTACCTCCATCCCCACTTGGCTATCATGTTCTCCGGGAGTCCCACCTGGGAAATTCTTCTTTTATAGTTTCCTCTGTGGTCCATCCTCCCTGACCCGGTAGGCTTTGAGAATAAGCTGCTCAAGTGTCCAGAATGTTAAATTCCATGGCAACTCTGGTTAGGGCCTCCCTTTCGAGGGGTAGAATACCATGTCAGTCCACATTGTCAGGTGGACACAGGCTGTCCTAGTGGCAGGATTCAGGAAGAGAAGTGAGGTCATATCAAGAGGTCCCTCTTGGAGGCCTACCCATCTCTCAGTCTCTGAACCAACCTTGCTGTATTCACAGATACTGGCTCTATCCGAAGTGTGCAGACAGGTGTTGGAGAGCTACATGGAGAGACCAGGTTTTGGCATGGGAAGGATTACTGCAACTTTGTCTTCAAGGACTGGGTTCAGCTGGACAAGCCTTTCGCTGGTGAGCATGGGTTGTGGCTGGTGGGTGGCTGCAAGTTCTTTGTTTTTCGCTTTGGGGCATCTCAACAGATGTGAGTGTGCACACAATCTAAGTACATCCCGTTTCATGCATTTGAAATTTTGTGTTTGCATGTATTAATTCTGTGTAGTGATGGCATCTTCATACACGTATATAGAGTAATTTGGTTATTCACTCCCCCTCCCATTCCCACTGATGCCCTTGCTTTTCCCAGCGAGAAGCCTTTCTGCTCTGTCTTTTGGTGGTCCAGTGAGTTCATTTAGGTTTGTTTACAAGAGCATGGGTAAGGAGTTACTTACAGGAGCACAGGTGACTTACAAGTGTCTACACCGTCAAAGAAATGCCTTTCCATCCCCAGCTGCCTTTAGAGCCTCAGTCCAGGGCCCCAGCGTCTCATCATTGTTTTATTTTTGTCTTTGAAATTTCGGTGAAATTTTGGAGATCTGATTTTGTCATACCCACATGAGCTTTTTGTTGTAGTAAAAAAATATATATATATATAAAAATTTAAATCTCCAAACTTGACACAGGCACATTTAGGACAATACACTGAAAAACTCCGTAAGAGGGTAGTCTTTTGATCATGCTCTTTTGTATTCTGTCTTCCATCATTAGAGGGTTGTGTTGGTGTACTTTTAAAAAACTTTTATTTACATTTTTTTATATCTCTTTCTCCCTACTCCACCCCAATCCCTTCCAACACCAGGCAGGAGAGAGAAAGGGTTAGTGGGAGACAGGGCACAGTTCTCTTAGCTGCTTCCTGCTGGGTAGAATCCTTCGGTTCCTTGGAGCCAGTCCAATCCTCATTTCAGGAGAGCTCCAGCTCTTGTCTCACTGCATCAACAGCAACAAGAGCTGCGGCATGAGGGGATGAGGGAAGCGGCGGCAACCTCATTCTTTCTCTAAGCTCCTCCATACTTTCTGGGCCCTGGCATTTGTTCTCTCTCCAGAGTTCTCAGATTTAAACTGTCTGCAGCTGGCAAGGAGCTCCTGTCAGATCCCATATGAGGCAAATTGTCTGCTGCTGTGGCCCATCTGAATCAGTCCCGCATCCCACACCTGGGATTAAAACAAAACATGTTTCTAGCCACAACAGGGATGTATCACAGATAAAGACTGTGCTTATATGTCTAAGAGGTGGTCAGCATGGTGTTGTGTCTATAACCTGCTTGTATTTCCACAGATCAGAAAGAAAATCCTATCAAGCATGCAGGATTCGATAATTTGTACCAGTTTACATCTTGCCTTGTCTACAGACTAATACTGAGCAAATGGAAGCATATATTAGGGTGTGGGGTGTGGATGATCAAAGATGTATGTTTCCCCTGACCATGAACACATTGTATCCTAGTTGAGATCAGAGTGTTTCTGTCCCTGGCACCAACCTTAGTGACGGGTCCTTGCCTGGTGGCCCCGGGCAGATTTCATCGACAGGTACTCCACCCCCCGGATGCCTTGGCATGATATTGGTTCTGTGGTCCATGGGAAGGCAGCTCGTGATGTGGCTCGCCACTTCATCCAGCGCTGGAACTTCACAAAGGTACCGATGTTGCAATGCTTTGGCCCCCACGAAGAAGGATGGTTCCTGGCCGAGGAGCGGCTCAGAGTGTTGGCAGGAGAGCCGCTGTGGCCACCTCTGTGACACCATCTATTGGTGGAGCTATCATTGCCATAGTGCTGGGCTTCAGAGCTCTATAGAAAAGGAAGATGGTTTCTGGAGTGTTATGATAACAGCTTTGGATGTAGGGTGATAGATGTTATGATGATCACAGCCTGTGGATTTAAGCCTTTGAACATCAGAAACGTATGTGTTAGTTAAGTATTTGCAGAGATGGGACCAGTAGTCATGTAGACGGCTATTATGGGGTCTATGTGGTTTGTCTAGATGAGGGGCTCCAACTGTAAAGCCCCTCCCAGCCCTGGGATGTCCTGGCCTTGTGTATGTATAGGACTATGGAGCAGGCTCTGACAAGGGGAAGAGGATGAGGCCGAGCCATTTCTTTTCCCCAGATGGAGCCCACTTACAAGCTACCATTGCTTGTAACAGCAAGATCCTAACATGCAGAAATCCAGTCAAGTCATGGTGCTGTTAAGGGGCCACTGCATTTATTTGAAATAATGATGCCCGTTTCCTCTGAAAATCTGGAGAAGGAAGTTAGTTGAGTTACTCAGAGTATCAATTTATTTATCATTCACCTGAAAGTTACAAAAAGTTGTTGGAGTAGTTGAAGGGGATAAATGAATAAGCAAAGCATTATTACCTCTAATCTACTATACTGTCAAAATAAAAACACTGCTAATATTTACAATTGGGTTTTTCTGTACTCCTGTGCCCTGCTCCTGAGAGGATAAATTAATCAACACTCAAAAAATATTTTTAGATACAGAATCTTTTCCCAGAAAAAAGTATCTCTGTATCATTTCTGATGGTTCAAATACAGTGAGAATTAGTTAAAATGCTAATTAATAGTACTAAAAACATTTTTTTAAGGAGACAGGGTCTTACTATGTAGCCCACTGTGATCTGGAACTCACAGTAATCCCTCTGTCTGAGTTTCCAGAGTTCTAGAGTGACAGATGATCTCCTGAATTCCTAAATAATATGAATCAAATTATTAGTCTTAGTCCTATTTTACTGTGGAGTTGTTTAAAATGAAATTGTGCCTAATCGCAGCGGTAGACATGTGCAACATAGTAAAACATTAGCCCACAAAATAAGAATTTGATTTTTGCAATTATGTATCTTCATAACTGTATGTGTGTGTCTTCATTACATCTAATTCGCCTATACATTATAAAAGAATGTGTGGCCGCTACAAATGGTAAAAATTTACCTTTTCTGTTTCAGATAATGAAGCCAAAATACCGTTCCCTTTCATATCCCTTTCTGCTCCCAAAGTCTCAAGCCACTGCGCATGAGCTGAGGTACCAGGTGCCAGGGGCCGTCCACGCCAAAGTACAGGTAAGATGAGCGCCGCTGGTTAATGGCGCCGGGACTGGACTAGCTGTGTGCTGCCTTCGCCTCAGATTTTTCAATAATTTTTTCTGGAGCCACCTAAGTGGATCTTTGAATATTCAGTGTTGTTTTCACTCTTAATGGATTCAGTTTGCCGTCTTTCTAAAACTCATGTGTATGTCTAATGTGTGTGTGTGTGTGTGTGTGTGTGTGTGTGTGTGTGTGTGTGTGTGTCCTCAGGAAAGCGACAGTGCAAGCAGAGCTCTTCCCGTGATTCCTTGAGCGGTAACTCTAGCAATGCTTCCCCAGTAAACCTGGGGCCGGTTGCTGCTTAAGCACCAGGAATGAGGCTGAAACTTGGAGTCTGCGAAGGGAGTTCTCATTCAATCAACTTTTAGAGCTTAATTAACCTTTACCTTTTAGAAGCTCGTTTAAAAGAATAAGAAGCTGTTTGATAGAAGCACGACATTTTATAGCTTCCGTTCCAACCATCTCAAGTCACAAACAAGAAAACTCAGGCCCATTGGGACCCTGCGGCTCATCCAGGGCCACCCAGTACTGACAGATGGATTCAAGCTCTAGCCCAGTGATCCTCAGTTGGTCAATGACCTCTCATAGGTCTTGAAGTTCTGCCCGGGCAGAATGAGGATGGGCCACCTTTGGCACTGCCTTTGTAACATCAGAAGCTTTGCTTAGGCAGACACCAGGCACCCTGCTTGCTATTCATGTCACCACTGTGGACTGACAGAATTCAGACTGGGGTGCTAGTGAGCATGCTTTTCAAATGAAGTGTCGAAATCTGCTACTCTGCACTATGCGCAAGCACAGGCGTGTGCCTAGCAGAAATAAAAATATGTCACAAGAGAGACAAAAGTAATACAGTAAAAAGAACAAACCATCTGGGCGGTGGTGGTGCACCTTTAATCCCAGCACTCTGGAGGCAGTTGCAGGCAGATCTCTCTGAGTTCGAAGCTACCCTAGTCTACAAAGCGAGTACATGACAGCCAGCACTACACAAAGAATTGTGACCTTCTCCCCCCTCCTCTACTCCCCCCTAAAAAGAGAACAAACCAGGGCTGAGGAGATAGCTCATTTGGTATAGTTGGATGAGGAATATCTGAGCTTGAGCCTCAGAAGCCATGTAAGGCATGTGGGTGTGTGTTGTGTGGGGGGCGGGGGGTGGTGGTGGAATGGAGCCATGAGGTTTCAGGGATTCACTGGCTAGCCAACCTAGTGATCTCCAGGCCAAGGAGAGATCCTGTCTCAAAAAAGAATTGTGTGGATGTTCTCCCCAGCAACAGTACCCAGGCTTGTCCTGCAGGGCCTCAACGTAAGTCAGGCATGTGCTCATGTGTAGCCACCCACACAAGGGCTTAAACAACGCATGCATGCAAACACACAAAGAAAGAAAAAAAGTACAGGGAGTAGATATGTAGTCATTGTGGTTCAGGAAGGTATAAACACTTTAAACTTGGAGGCATGGGGAGCTATTCATTTGCATGTAAGTTGATGACTATTTTAGGAACCTACTTAATCTATTGTGGGTAAGAGCTTACTCATTCTGTAAGATGAAACAAGAATGTTGGTATTAAGGAAAATAAACCAGGATACAAGACTTGATCTTGCATTAAAATTGGTGTGGTAGTCATCTTACCACAGCTAGCTTCTGTTATGTATTGGTCGGAAATGCATTGTTGACAGGCTGGTGAAACAGCGTGGCGTGGGGGTGCTCGCTGCCAAGCCTTCAGGCTTGAATTTGACATACTGCACTCATATGGTAGAAAAAGACCCCCCCCCCAAAGGCTGCCCCCTGACCTTCACACTCTCCCTGTGGCAAGTGTGTGTCCACACACATACACCAATAAGTAGATATATGGAATTTAAATATATGTATTGCTGAGATGTTTTGGCTGCCTGCTGATTGTATCAAGACTCATTCGCTCATTTATTCACTGACTCAGCCAACATGTTTAGGTCCCATATATTTATGTAATCATATGTTTAAGCACTGTCTGTTCACACTGTAAGCCATTATTTGCATCCTGAGAGGGAAGGACCAAAAAAAAAAAAAAAAAAAAAAGTTTTGCTGCCTCTAGAGACATAGTTTTTTTGGGAAAGAGAAAGCAGGGAGATTGGAAACTTGTCTTCGCTACTCACTGGCTGCACTTAGAGCTTGCTAACAAGGCAGGCAGAGTGGGTCTTTTCCCTGAGGAATGAGACCGCCTGCTGCATACCGCTGCCCTTGGCAAGGGGAATGCATGCGGTTAGTGTGAGGCTAGAAGAGAGGTCTGAGAATGATCCTGGAAGCCCAAGTGGCCTTGAACTTGCCCATCACCTGTGAACACGCATGCTGCATAGATGCTTCTTACAAAGATTAACCTACAATAGCTTTCTTAAACTGGCTTTTGCTGGTGAAATGCTGATAAAGATTTCACACACACAAAAAAAGTTTCTAAGTCTTCTTTAACATGGATGGGCAGTGCTTTTGTTATGCTAATGTGCCAGGGAGCCACTGAAGGGCTTGCTTGCCATGGGGTCATTTCCAAAGTTTATCCCACAGGAAATCTCTCATTTTTATTTCTTCTCTGTGTCTGTCTGAACAGATAATTCAGAGCGTGAGGCTCATACATATGAAGGGCTCTCCAGTGAAAGCCAGGGCCAGGAAGGTCTCTGAAAGCACCAATGCCCCTGCTGGGCTGAGCTAGAAATGAAAGGGAGGGACAGATAGACATTGAGGAAAGACATAGACTCACTGAAAATTAGGGGCAGGGAACTGAAATGAAAGAGAATTAGTTAAATGTCATTGATGTCATCCCTAGAGAGGAATGTGAGTGTGCCATGCTTGGTGGGCCTGAGAGCGAGCTAAGGTCACCAGTGAGGAATACTCCCACAGCTCCATGCTGTGTCTGTTCTGGGTGACACAAAATTTAGCTGAGAGTGGCCTTGATAAAGAGCCAGCACTTTAGGAACGCAGGACAGTAGTCGGCTAGCATAAGATCCTGTCGCAACAACAACAACAAAAAGCATATATTTGATTTTGTAAATTTTGTGTTGTTTTTATTATAGGGCCTCTCCCCCAAATTAAAAAGCCCAAGACCTAGAGAAATCTGGAACTCTGATTTTCAGCTGAAGTAACTGTAATTCTGAGACAAGACAGTGTGGACAAGGAGACTGTTGGAGACCTCACCTTGCTTCATTTCTCTGTCATTCAGTTCTGACACTGGTTACTTCATGCTTCACCTCTTGTTCATTTGCTCCAAACACTAGAGTGCTTTTCCAGGACCATGGCTGTGCAGGGCTTGAAAGCAGAGATGTAGGCAGTCTTGATATATATATATATCAAGACATATATATATATGAAAAAAAGAGCACCAAGTGACTGTCGTACTGCCCACCCTCTTTATAGGGCCAATGATGGGCAGTGATGAGCAGAAACACTAACACATGCAAAGCACCAGAGAGGAGCCCTGGCACTGTGTGTGGCTCAGTCACAGTGCCAGCCTGGCGCTTGTTAGGTCCTGGGTGTGATCCAGAACAATCCACAATTCCTAAAGAAACCGACCTTCTCTCTCCCAGCAGCCATCAACTGCCAGTATCAGTTTTGTGACCATCTCCCCCTCTCCACATAGGACATTGTCTGGCCTTGGTCTTGGGCCTGTAGTCACAGCCACTGGGAATACATCTATGCACCTGCTCTTTTGGGTGCAAAAGGCTCTGTGAAGTAGATGTTCCATTTAGGACCGAGCACTCACACTCCAGTGAATGGCCCTCACCTGTGCATATACTGAGAGAACTAAGTGGAACTTGAACAAGAACAAACAAATAAAAACCCACATGAGACTGGGAGGGAAGTATGGATGGGGGTGGGGGATGGGAGGGAGGGAATGAGGGGTGGGCTTGACTAAAACACATTATCTGCGTAAATGAAATACTCCAACAATTAAACAAACAGGGCATGGTGGCTCACACCTATAATCTGTACATTAGGGAAGTAGAAGCAGGAGCAGCAGAAGATTGAGGTCATCCTTTCCACATAATGAGTTCGAATCCAGCCTGTGGCACATGAAACCCTGTCTCAAAACAGAAAGTAAAACAAACACACAAAAGCCAACCAGTGGAAAACTCTCCTTTGTTCCATCACTGTCAGCTCTTTATGCTTTCTCTCATACAGCAAGTGGTGAGAAAAAGGGTATTTGACATGGTAAAGGTAAATAAACGGGAAATTCCACGACATTTTTCATGTGCAAAAAGGAACAAAAGTATTTGTTAATATGAAAACACTTGCACACCCTTCCACAGAGGGGTGGTATGGCCAGGATGAGAAGGAAACCATACCTTGGAGAGTGGAAGCCTGACCCCATCTGAACAGTCACTTCTCAGAAGGTCACCCAGACATGAGAACTGACTCCAGAAGCTTCCCCAAACAGCTTTGTGTGGTTCTCTTCAGTGCCGGGAATTCTAGAAGTTTTCCCAGGACACACAGAGAAGATTCAGCAGAGGAAGGCCCCCACATGGGAGGCAGAGAGAGGCTGTGTTGAAACTGCCTGCTCACAGGCCATAGAAAAGAGACAGCCCATCAGTGCAAGACCAGTCCTGGCTAGACACTGAGACCTTGTCTCCAAAACCAACCAAGCAACCTAAGTGAGTGGTGGGAAGGAGCCTTGATTCCCTGCAGTCTGGCCTTAGCTCTGAGGTATAAGTGCTGATGGTGGGCATGTTTCCAGTGAATCCCAGGGTGTCTGTAGACACCAAGGCCCCAGCAAGGTGACAGTGCTTCATCTGTCACATCCTTTAAGACCATCTCCCATCACCTCTCTTCCTATTGTATCTTTTTGGTTCCCCAAAGTACCCAGCTATACATATCTGCCTCCACGCAGTGTTTTTCCCCTCATTTCACTCGTTAAACACTGTGCTTTCTTGCCCTCCTTTAGCCTCAGGAGTGACTTCTTCCTTTGGTTCCGGTAAATGGCTGGTCTTGTGACATTGCCTAGCCCGCTGAGCAGCATGCACACAATCTCAGGCGCTGTGGAAGGAAGGAGCTTGAGGAGATGAAGATTAGGTCAATGTCTTCACAACCACTAACAGCGGTTGCTTTTAGCCCAGACTGGAAGAATGAGGCTCAACTGAGGGAGCACTTACCTTTTCTCATCTGATTATGACGCCTAGGAACATCCACATGAATGGATGCCAGCCTCAGCCTGAAGGACACACACAATGCTTTTGTCCTAAGCAATCTTTGTCCATAATTCACTTGTGACACTTAGGGAAATAACAAGGAATCAAGATATATACATATATACAAATACATATGTGTGTGTATGTATATACATATATACATATGTAATATACATATACATGTATATTACACATGTGTACACATATGTATATATATGTATATATATATATACATATACACACACACATGTATATACACATACACATTTTTAATTTACAGGGACTAGAAGCATTCTGGTGAACACTTGCTTGGGACAGATGCTAGAAATGTCCTGAAGATTTTCCTGCAAGAGACATTTCTGTTCTTCATGCATTAATCTTAGGCCCCTTGTATGGAAAGGGAAGGGTTGTGGTTAATGAGCAAGCTATTTTTACTTTAAAAAATAAGACACTGCACAAAGGAAAATTTCTAGTCCTGGTTATGATTTTGACCCTAAACCATCAAATCAGATCTATGCCACTTTTGTATATTTTCAAGTTGTGTATTTAAATTTGAGGTCTGAAAAGTATGGGTTAGATTTCATTCCTAGCACATTTCTGGTATATTTTTTCACATGTGAGGGGATGGGCCTGAGGCTTGTCTCATTTATATTGTTTAAAAACTAGAAACATTAGACAAGCTGGTGAGGTCAGTGAAACGAAACGAGGAGAGTGATTCTTAAATTGAAAGCAAATGAACATGAGTCAACACATGCTTGACGGTCTTGACTATTGACAGGATTCTCTAGATTATCAAAGATGTAACACAATTAGAATGATTTTCTACAGTTTCAGGGTTCAAAAGGCAAAAATGCAGGCAGAGCCAAAGAGAAATTCATAGTTTCAATTGCTTGTGTGGTGACAGCCAGATTTTAACTAATTAGAAGAGTAAATAACTAATAATCTCAAATAGATTTTTTCCCCCCTCTTGCTTAAAATCTAGCTTTCAAGTTTGCCCCAGATAATGACTGTTTTCAATTAAGTGACTTCCATTGTGAGTGAAAGCTATGAATTTGGACTTGGGCAATGGGATTCGTAACGATGAGCCCATGGGAGTTGGGCAACTTCCTATGTTTGGGTTTTGTAAGCATTTTGAGACCCTCCACTTTGGCGTATGGCCTGTCCCATACAAATGGTGTGGTTTCTGGGTATACAGCTTGACTTTAAACATTTAAATGCCTCTAATTAGCTGCCCTTCATGGAAAATGACAGCTATCTGACCTCCTTGCTCTCCTTCCTGGTAGGCATGACTAATCAACTGCCTATTAGTGTACCCTGCCCCAAGAATTTCTTTTCATCATTGCTTGGAAGACACTGAATTGATTGGATAGTACATGGCAGTTAAAACCTGCTTTGACATCTAACTGCTGCTAATTTTTATCTTTCATGCATGAGTTTACTGAGTCTTTGAATCAGAGCAAGTTTCAGAGTGAGAAAGAAGATAAAGTGTAGGTTTCTGAATCTCAGGGGAAGGCTAGGATGTTCCTATCTGGGTTGCTTATAAACTTAAAGCTTGTAACTTAGCAGAGCCACATATCACTAGGAACCACTTTTTTCTTTGCACATTGGAATTTATGATTAAGTTTTTAGGTTAAGATACAAAGGGGGTCTCATTATGACAAATGTACTTATTTGTTCTGTTATTATGCCTTAGCAGTTCAGGAAGAGAAAGAAAGGGTGGAAGGAAAAGAACAAGAGCATAGGAAGGGAGGAGAGGAGAACCCAGAACTCAGCTGGTCAGTAGAGGGAACGGAGCCTCCATGGCATTGAAATGTTCAGGGTGAAAGTACCATCTCGAAGCTGTGCGGCCCATTTGTCTTTCCAGTGTATGCAGCCAGGTGCCAGCTTGCCTGCTTCCAGAGTCGTGGATTTGCATGAGGATGTGTGTCTAAGAACCTTTTCAATGCAGTCTGCAGGCCCAGCGTCATATTGCTTTACAATAACATCTACCATGAATTCAAACAGACTAAGAGTTGGAACTTTTGTTTAATCTTTATTCCTATCTGGTGACCAATAACACAGTTCCTTTGGAGATCCTGTCATTTCCTGGATTATTTTAACTTGATTCGTGTTTATGTACGTTTTTCCACTTGACACATTTCCATATGTTTACCTGATAACCATGTGTGTTGACAGAACCAGCTAATAAAGATCCCATATCAGATCAAATAGCTTTGAGGGTGACACAGTCAATGGCTTTTTAGTAAGCAAGAGCATTGCAGCTCCTTAGGCTGGTAGATATTATTTTAAAATTGTTAAGTACTTTACCAGACCTTTTTATAGATAGTAGATATAAGACAATTACCTCCTGGGTTACATTTACAGTCCTGGTAAATGCTCAATCATCCTTCTCATTATCTTACATTTTAGTTGGTTCTGTGAGGGACAGTTTCAACACTCATTTAAGATTAGAAACAGCAGATATATATATATATATATATATATATATATATATATATATATATATATCCTCTTTCCCCTTTCATTCTCCCACATGCTTTCCTCTTTTCTCACTTTTACTTTTTTTGAGACAGGGTGTCATGTAGTCCAGGCTAGCCTTAAACTTGCTTTGTAGCCAGGGATGACTTGAACTTCTGATCCTGCTGCCTGCCTCCACTCTCCAAATGTTAAGATTATAGGTGTGTGCCAGTTACACCTGGTTTAAGTGGTGCTAGAGATGGAAACGAGGGCTTTGTGTATGCTAGGCAAACATTTACCAAGTGTGCCACATCCTTATGATTCTTCTGTGATGACTATGAAAAACTGAGATGTACGTATTAAGAGCTTACTATATGTAAAAGTCATGCTGCAACAATTAAAATACCAGAAGGATTGGCAAGCGAAGGTCATTTAGTGTTGGGAAGGCCATGAGATGCTCCATTGTCCCCCTGCCCACGCCGCCATGCACAGGTACGAGTCTACTTTGCATCATCTCTGATGTGATCTGCCATAGCCCAAGTGCACCCTCTAACTGCCATCATTAGTCAGCAGTTACATACTCTTTGTTTACTAGGCACGAGGCTTGCTGACACACACTTCACAGTTATTAGTCTCTGCCCTGCCTCGGGGTCCTTGACTTGTAAGCGGGTACAGCTGAAGGGAAGTCACAGAAAAAGAGGACAACCTAAAATTGTAATGATCTAAATAAGTCTTCGAAATATTCCTTGTAGGAACCACAACTTAAGTTTTTAAGTTTTGAATGAAAAGAATGCTGGATGGAAGAGTGCTGCTTTAGTTTGCTTTTCTGTTGCTACAATAAATGCCATGGCCAAAAAAAAAAAAAAAAAAAAAAAAAAACAAAAAAAAAAAAAAAAAACAACTTGGGGAGAAAGGGGTTTCTGTCATCCAGGGATGCCAAAACAAGAGCTAAGCAGGGGCCATAAACACTGCCTACTGGCTTGCTCCTGGCTCACATTCACAGCTTTTAAACACAGCCCAGGCCCACCTTCGTAGGTGTAGCACTGCTCACAGTTAGCCGGGCCCTCCTACACCAATGGAAATCAAGAGAAAAGCCTCACAGACATCCCCACAGGCCAATCTGATGGAGGCAGTTCTTAAGTGAGGTTCTTTCTTTCCTGGTGTAACAAGCTGACAATCGAGACGAGCCATCTCAAGGCTGTGTTCTGGACATGATCCAGCTCTCTCTTGGGACTCAAACCATCCCAGTCATTGTATCAGTACTAACCATGTCATCTCGGTTTTCTGATGGATGCTCATTGCTGATTGCTTGTAGTTGCTCCGATCTGCAGCTGACTGGTCTGCTGGCATAAAGCACCATGAAGAATCGATCCACTCTGCTTACACCCATGTAATAGAAAACAGCAAGCACTACATCTATATTGAAGTAAGTATGTCCTTAAGTCAATTACACAGGAGCCTGCCTTGCCAAGTGTCTAGGTTCCCATGACCCAGAGTCATTTGGGGGAAGGAGAGAGTTCATTTGGCTTACATTTCCATGTCACATTTGGTCATTGAGGGAAGTCAAGGTGGGAATGTAAGCAAGGCAGGAACCAGGGCAGGACCCAAAGCAGAGACTGTGGAGGAACACTGCTTACTGGCTTACATCCCTTGGCTGGCTCGGCCTGCTTTCTTACACCATCCAGGACCACCTGCCCAGGGGTGGCAATGTGGCAATGCCCCCAGTGAAAAAGACTCCCATATCAATCATCCGTCAAGAAAATGCTTCAGAGATTTACTTGGCCTATGGCCAAGCTGATGGAGGCTTTCTCAACTTAGGTTTCTCTTCCTAGATAACTTTAGTTTGTATCAAATTGTCAGAACACTAACCAGACAACAAGTATTATATAAGACTATAGGGACCCCACTTCAGGATTCTGTGTTAATAAGCACGAATTGAGTTATGAAGAATTCCAGAGAAGTATCAGTTGAGGTCATTTGTATTTTTATCCCCCAGCATACCTGAGTTTACTCTGCACCATCTTTAAGTCAAGACTCTGATGGATTCTCACAAACCCTTGTACTAACAAAGTCCCAGCTCATGTATACATTTGGGCTTTTTGTTTTGTTTTATTTTGTTTTGTTTTGAAGTGACCCTAGCACAGATGTGGGAGTCTTCACTGGTCTATGGTTAGAGTGTCTAGAGAGGCATGTGCTTTTTCAGGAGCGCACGCCCATACACATGCACAGGGTCAGTTGCTTGTGCAGAGGATCAGATACTCTGCTGTGGGCATCCAGGAGCAGGGAAAGGGAGGGAAGGGATCATGGAAATGAGAGATGTGAGGATGTTAAAGCTGAGAGCCGCTATTCATGACAAAGCCTTTTTCAGCCCCCAGACTGTGTTCAGAGTCCATGCAAAAATGAGAACAGTGAGTTTAATGTGGAAACTTTAATTGAACTTCAAAATAGATACAGAAATAGTGCAGATCCCTTGGAACCCCTGAAAAAAATTTCGGTAATGGGGGTCATACAAACCAACACACATCCCCCTCCTTTATCCTGTTTTTCTTTTTCTCATTGAATGAAAATAGAATGTTTAGCCAAAAGCAACTTGTTAGGAAAACTATTTGAGCACTGTTTTCCCTCCCCTGGAGTCCTGCTTCTCATCCCTTCTATAGAGTGACAGTTGATTAAGGATCGTCAGCAAACAACTGTAGCTTTCCTCATGTCTCAGACCCGGGGAAAGAGAAAGCTCATTAAAAACATTAGCAGGCTAACTGCTGTGGCATCTCACACGGGATCACGCAGCAGATAAAAGGCATTAGTGGGAACATCAGGGAAGTCCTCTCTGGAGGTGAGGGAGACATTTGTTATCATTAACTGTGAGAATGATGCTGTCATTGCCAAAGATGTGAAGCCGCCTTGTCCAGCACCCAGTCGTTTTTTTTTTTTTCATTTTTGTAAAACATAGCATTAACATAGTATTAGAGACTTTTCTTGTTGCTGACAGAAGCAAGTAAGGCAGAATCTGTTTATTTTGGCTCAGAGTTCTGAAGAATATAGTCCATCATGGCAGGGACATCACGGCAGCAGGAGCAGGAACTGTCTGTCACAGCATGCACAGCCAAGAAGCAGGGTGATGGATGCCGGTGCTCAGCCCCCTTCTCCTTTTTGAACAGTCTGGGACCCCAGAGTGTGGAATGGTGCTGTCACATTTATGGTGGGTCCTCCCACCTCAATTGCCCTAATCTAGATACCCTCACCAACAAGCCCATGGACTTGTTTCCGTGGTCAAACTAACTTGTATCAAGTTCACCATCGTGACCATCACAAGCTACTTCTCTTTCCTCACGCTAACATAGCATTGAATGATGTCAGCAACCCCTCGAAGGCATGTGTGGTTGTGGACATTGTTCTGAGTAATGTTCATGAGCCTAAACAGTCAGCATTTACCCTATTCCTTAAAAAAGATAGGCAGACAGACAGACGGACAGGGCATGTGGCAGTTTGTCAGTCTGTTCTTATAGCTGCTGACCCATGCTAACTCGCTTTGTAGTGTGAGTTGTTTTGAGTCATAGTCTCAAGTGCCTTTCTGCAAGCTGTCTCCTGGGGGCATTGTGCCGATTTGAGCTGCTGCTTAAAAGCTGGGCACTCATACACATGGCATTGCTATCAGGGGATGCAAATTAACTTCAAATTATTCCTTAAGACAATTAGAAAATATATATGTTTGAAGATGCATTTTGTTAGAAATTACAGTTGTATTGCAACAATCTGGATTCTGTTTCAATAGGCAGTACTTGTAATATTTATTTGTTATTTTTAACATTCCTTTCTTTATGCAATAAAGCCTTTTGTACCATTAGGATAATAGTGTGGCTATTTTCTAACAACAGTTTCGAAGAATGTTTTCTAGATCTCTGGGTAACAGAAGTACCTAAATCAAAAGCATTTTTCTTTCTACACTCTTAGTTTATTTATGTATACATAAACGAGACTTGAGAGCTGGGGAGGTGACTCCCTGGAAAATCCTTTCTATGTAGGCTTGAAGGATCTGAGTTCAGATCCTCAGCAGCTGCGTTGTGCTAGGTAAGCACAGAGGCCTGCTGTCACTTGGCAAGAGGAAACAGGAATCCCTGGAGAAACTGGCTGGGTAGAGTAGGCCTGTCAGCGAGTTCTGGATTGTTTGGGGATCCCTTGCCCTAGAAAATGGGATGGAGAGACATGAAGAGAGACTCCCGAGGTCAGCTTGGGACCTCTACAAGCACACAAACGCCCTCTCACCAGCACACAGACATGTGCCCCACACAATCAGGCACAGAAACACACCACACAGAAGAACAATTCTTTGAAACTGCTTACAATAAAAGTCCAGAGACAGGAAAGACCCAAAGGAAGAAGACAAGGTGAAAGTAGGTGCTAAGAAACACTGGATGGAACCTGGGCAGAATGAACAGGACTTCGGCCACGTGCCTTACTGAAAAGTAAACTCAGGCCAAGACAGGATGCATGCCAGTGTAACCTTTTTAATCATAAGCATGTGCACAGTGTAAGAATCAGAAGGAAACATAATTGGGAAATATCCTCAGCATTCTAAGAATGCAATTGCAACATTTGTGTTACAAAAGTCTGTAAAAGTAACTTTCATTCCCTGAGGTAACTTATCTCTGAGGCTTACTACCTCTGTCTACTAACCTAGGCAGAGTCCTAGAAGCTTTTAGCCTCCATACAATCTAACCTAAGCCTAGAATGTTTTCAGCCTCTGAGGCTTACTGTTTAATTAGTTCACCTTTTCTTGTTTCTTTAGTAGGCTCTGGGCTGGCTGGTTCACTGCAACTGTTCTGGCTCAAACTCCTCTCCCAACTAACTTATTCACACTGGCTTTTCTCTCAGCCTCTAAATTGCTCTGTTTGGCCTCAAACTAACTCCAGAAATCTGCTCTAATCTTCTAGCTTCTTCTCATTCTCTGGCTCCTTTGGTCTTCACCTGCGTTCTCTCTGCAACCTGTCTCTCTACTACTGCCCTGGTAAAACTGCCTCTTTTCCTCTCTGTATGGCCCCGTAAGTAGCTTCCCTTTCCACTCTCTTCTTGTGAGAATTGAGTGTATCCTATGATGTCAAGTCTTTCTCTGATTCAACACTGTTTCTGCCACTCAATTAGACATCACTTTCAAACATGAGTGCTTCTTTCTACAAACTAACTTTACCTTCATTGCTTGGGATTAAAAGCTTGTATCACCACAGGTCTAGACCTAAGCTTGTCTTTACCTGAAACTTGCTCTGTACCAAGCTGGCCTTGAACTCAGATCTGCTTGTCTCTGTCTCCTGGATTAAAGGCGTGTTTGTATTCATTCCATGGAGATCACACAGACCTAGAAGGTCTTTGGATGTGATCTCTTGCCAGAACAGCTATGTTCTGAATTAACATTCCTCTACAAAAACCACATAGCCCTCTGCTTCAGAACGATGTGATAAGCACTGATGATGTCATTCACATGAGATCTTGAGCATGATGATGCTTTCCATATTCAGAGCCGTTTGCTTTCCTTGAAAGATTCAGTGGCCTGAACATATCCACGTGAAATATTTTTAAAATAATCAATATAGCATTTGTTTCCTCCTTCTACATATTTTGTAGGACATCCTACAGAGAAAACAAGGCCTTACACACATTTCCTATTTTTCTCACAGAACCAATTTTTCATAAGCTGCGCTGATGATAAAGTCGTATTCAACAAGGTGGGCGACGCTATTGCCCAAAGAATCCTGAAAGCCCACAGGTAAGGCTGGTGCTTGAACAGAAGTTTGAGCTGATCTGCCGTAGCTGCTCTTGCTTCACTGTGGAGGTGGCCACCAAAAGCTTGTACTGAAAGTGTTGTTGTCTTGTGAGTCAGTTGTTGAGAAACTTTCAATCTATGGTGGCGGGAATCTGAACTTTTCCAGATACAATCAGCTTCCTGGCCTGCCTCCTCTCCATGTATGAGGTTTTTTGCTCTGATTTAGTGATTGGCCAATACTGGGCTATGCTCACACGAACAGAACAAAGCAGACAAAATTTCACCACAGAGTTATATTTGAATTCGTGTTTCCATATCTCATATATCTTTAGCTCATGGAGTTATTTCTCAACAGTTTTAGTCTGATCATATCCATATACTGTGCAGTCTTCTTGTCGTTTTGAATTGTGTGTGTATGCATTTGTGGCTAATTTGAACTCTATGCAAAGGTAGCAAAGCAGAGCCATTATACCTTACTACTTAAAGTCTTGGAATGCATGCAGTGAAGAATGCAACATTTGTGTTACAAAAGTTGTTGGAGGCGAAACCATTTTTTCCTTTTCTTTCCATGTGCTGGATGACAGCTTCCTAGAGAAAGGCCACTGCATTGTAAATTGCTGCAAAGATGGCCCCAAGATTGTATGACAGTCACCAGGAACAGCACAGACAGCTAGGAACAGTATCTGTGTTCTGCCTTTACAAGCAACATTTAATCTTTGCTCCCTCAGACACTTTTTAAAGTCACCAGAGCATCCGTTGCTAAAAAGGCTTAGAAGCAGCCTTGCTTGCAGATGGACATACAAGTGTACACAGGCTTTTCCGATTGCCAGTGTTCCGAGTCTCTGGAGCAATTGATGCAAAATTTGAAAAAAAAAAAAAAAGTATTATTTTTCTGTCAGCTTTGACATTAACTGATACAGAAGGATCCGCTTTGTTTAGAAAGCACATTTGGCAAAAGGAAACAGACCAACCATGGTCTTAATGAAATTGAAGTGAAGTATTAAGTTGGCAAATGGGTTCATTGCCGTGAAGGGTGGGTTGTGAATGTTGGAACTGTGATTAACTAATAAGTACAATTACATGAACATGAATTTAAGTCATCTCTTAGTAGTTCCCTATAGTACATAGGGAGCTGCCAGATTGGTCTGGATATTTTGGGAGCCTGAGAGTGTACACATGTGAGGATGAAAGAACATGTGGGTGTGTGTGTGCTTGCCAGAGGACAGCCTCAGCTGCCATTCCTCACATGCTATTGACTTTTGACTAGACAAGAAGATTGAACAATGGATTAAAATGTGCAAAATGATTCAAGTCAGAAATACCATAGAATGTGAACCCTTGTTGTCAGTAACTTCAAGCTGAGCAGGGAAGGTAAAAGACATCCTCAATTGAAAAAAGTATGTCCAAGAGAAAGACTGAACTTAAAAAAAAAAAAATCAAGACTGCTATTTAAATAAAATGTTTAGGTTAAGCCACGAATTGTGGTGCACACCTTTCGTCCCACCAGACAAGCAAGTTTAAGGGCAGCCTGGTGAGTTTACATAGTGAGTTCTAGGGTAGCCAGGGTATGCAGAGAGACCCTGTCTCAGGAAGAAAACAAAAGGTATTTCTTCTATCTACCTGTCCTCTATCTATCTATCTATCTATCTATCTATCTATCTATCTATCTATCTATCATCTCTCTATGTATCTATCTTTTTTTGAGACAGTTTCTCACTATCCTAGAATTCACAAAGTAGACAAGGTTTTGTGTCCAAGTCCTCCCCACAGGTGCTTCTGTGTTCACTTCTCAGCACCAGGATGAAAACTCTGTACTCTCACACCTAGCTCTTTGAAGCATGTGGGCTCTGAGGAGTGATCTCAGGCCAGGCCACCATGCCTACAGCACAAGTGTCTTGCTGACTGAGCTGTCACCCTAGCCCAACAACATTTTTTTTCTCTACCACTTCAATTTGTATCTAAAATGTGGGAATATCCCTAAAATTCTAGTATTTTAAAGCAAAACAGAACTTTGATAGTCTCTGATTACATATTTCCCAGTAGTCCTGTGAGCTGATTCTGAAAGTAAAAGAACCATACAGTGTGGGAAGGGCGGTGTCTGCCTCCGAATTTACCTTTTAGCTTTCACCGGATAACGTGGAGTCTGTGGGCTAGTTTTCTTAGGCAAGGTCAGGGCAGAACTCGAAGCCACACCTTGCAGGCTACCTGAGGTGGGCGCCGGAGCCTGCTCTTTCTCTTCCTTCATAGATCTCCCTTGCCGATGACACATTCTTCTCAATGAGAAGGGCTAGAGCAGAAAGCAGATGCAGGGAAGTGATGTCAGCAGACTGCTAGGTCTGACCAGAGAACAAAGGCCCTCAGCCAGGTCCCTCTGGTAGATCTGAATCTCTAAGTTGCCAGCTCCCTCTCCTAGGCTATCTTTGTGTGTGTGTGTGTGTGTGTGTGTGTGTGTGTGTGTGTGTGTGTGTGTGCCAGCATTGGAATGGAGCCTCATCCCAGTTCCCAGAGCTGTTTACTTTCGGGTCCAGAGCCATAATTCTTCAGAGAAATAGAATTCTGTTAGGTCTCTGTGATGTGAGCCATGACCTAGAGTCTCAGGTGGGCTCATTCCACTGTGAATGAAGAGAATCCAGGGGAATTGCTGCAGAAAAACAACATGAACCTGTAATACCTGAACCTGTGTCAGAGCTGAAATCAGCTCCCAGCCTACTTGAAACATGACATTGACAATTTCAATGTGTCTGGGATGGGCAAAATGAATCATGACCTTCTAAGTCAAATTATCTCTTTCATACCATGGCTGAGTAACCCAAGGGATAGAATAATACCAACTTATCTAGACAGACACATCTTAGAGTAGTTTGTAATGAATTAATGGTATCTGGGGACCATCTCAGGTCTTCACCTATTTTGACGTGCAAAATTCCTCTGCTTCGGTAGAAAGCCAGGAGATGAGAGATTATCACCAGAGACTTGATATATAATGAAAATGGACGGTTGACTTCATGTGTCCGTTAATACTAAACAGCATTGAAAACTGTAATACTAAGCCACTTTTAACATAGGCAGTTTGAAAACATCGTTTAACTTTTCATGATGGTTCTTACATCTCCAGGGGAGCCATGGTTGGCCAGTAAATGGCTGCTATGAGCAGTGCACAGGGGTGTGATCTAGTATTGGGGGACCTAGGACACTTTCCTGCTGTGTTATCTACAGATAGGAGGCCTTTTCAGTCTGTCAGTTTGTTTTTCTACTGCTGTTACTTCACCAGCAAAGGGAACAATGACACCATTAAGTGTGTGCTTATAATAGCAGTTAGGTTGATAAAGTAGTAGTCAGTGTAAAATTATTATAGCATTCCTGGGCTGTCCATCATCTGGAAACAAACTACACTTTCTAAATCAAGAGCCTAAGGAGTAATAACCACTAAATCAATTCCTATTTGCAATACAACAGAAAGATTACCACTAAAAAAAAAAAAAAAAGTTTGGCCATCCGTATTTTAAATCGTTAGGTACATTCTATAGACTAAAACTTGCTTTAAAAAAATGTTTTTAATTAAAAATAAAATCCTTACTTTAGTTCTCAACCACTGTCTTATAACTGAAGAACTCTGCCTCTGGGTGATATGCGTATTTTTGCGAGAAGTCACACACATGCCAGAGTGCATGTGTGGCCATCAGAGGACAACTTGTGGGAGTCAGTTCTCTCCTTGCCAGGTTGGCAGCCAGCGCCTTTATTCACTGTGCCACCCTGCCTGGATTTCTCATCGAGATAATGCCTGTCCAAGCCTCATAAAATAAGAGATCCATGTCAGTTCAGTTTTGTTTTGCCTTCTGTTAGGTTGCTGTCTGAACTGTCATTCTTGGGTGATAACCAACGCTTTAACTTTGATTTTAATTGAATTAAAATGTTAGGAGTAAGTTTTGAGTCCTTTTTCCTTTTTATTGATTTATTTTTTATTTATTACAATTTATTTACTTTTATCCCAGCTGTATCCCCCTCCCTCTTACCCTCTCAATCCCACCCTCCATCCCTCTTCTCCTCCCATGCCCCTCCCCAAGTCCACTGATAGGGGAGGTTCTCCTCCCCTTCCATCTGACTCTAGCCTATTGGGTTTCATCAGGACTGGCTGCATTGTCAGTCTCTGTGGCCTGGTAAGGATGCCCCATCCCCCGCTCAGGGGAAAGTGATCAAAGAGCCAGCCACTGAGTTCATGTCAGAGACAGTCCCTGTTCCCCTTACTAGGAAACCCACTTGGAGACTTGGAGACTGAGCTGCCATGAGCTACATCTGTTCAGGGGTTCTAGGTTATCTCCATGCATGGTCCTTGGTTGTAGTATCAGTCTGAGAAAAGACTCCTGAGCCCAAATTTCTTGGTTCTGTTCTCTCCTTGTGGAGCTCCTGTCCCCTCCAGGTCTTTCTATCTCCCCCTTCTTTCATAAGATTCCCTGCACTCTGCCCAAAGTTTGCCTATGAGTCTCAACATCTTCTTTAATACCCTGATGGGTAGAGTCTTTCAGAGGCCCCCTGTGGTAGGCTTCTATCCTGTTCCCTGTTTTCTCCCTCTTCTGATGTTTATCCAGTGTGCCCTTCTGAATGAGGATTGAGCATCTTCCCTAGGATCCTCCTTCTTGTTTAGATTTTATTATGTTTATCCTATATCATATGGCTAACATCCCACTTATAAGTGAGTAAATACCATGTGTGCCTTTCTGCTTCTGGGTTACCTCACTCAAGATGATATTTTCTGGTTCCTGCCATTCACCTACAAATTTCACGATTTCCTTGTTTTTAATTGCTGAGTAGTATTCCATTGTGTAAATGTGCCACAATTTCTGTATCCATTCCTCAGTTGAGGGACATCTGGGTTGTTTCCAGATTCTGGCTATTACGAATAAACCTGCTATGAACATGGTTGAGCAAATGTCCTTGTTGTATGCTTGAGCATATTTTGGATATATGCTTAGGAGTAGTATAGCTGGATCTCGAGGTAGCACTAT